GGCAGGCAGGCAGGCAGCTAGATAGGTACATAGATAGAGCCTGAGAGAGTCACAGAGAATTAAACCAAGACAGCGAGATTCAGACAACGAGAAAAAGAGAGAGAGCGAGTCAACGACAGAAATAGAGAGACACAGACAGAGAGGGAGTGGGAGAGGGAGAGGGAGCGAGATGCCCAATGGCAGCCTCAAGCCATTAATCACACTTTAGTTCATCCTCGAATTGAGGTCGAGATCCAAGATGGCCTTTCAGATGCACTAAGGATTCAGGGTCAAGGTTTGAGGGCACAAGGGTGATGATATTTTGGGATCCTCCACTTCAGCATTTCGGTTTAGGCTTTGTGGCTCAGGGTTTAGACCTTCCCTATCGGCCAAAGCGTCAAGGATCTTCAACTGTGGGGTTTAGGGGCCCAGGGCCCCAAACCTTAGCCAGAACTTCGGGGGACTCCCGGAGGGCTTTGGTGGCTTCTCACGGTGAGGTATCTTTGGGTTCTGGCTGTTTCGTGGGTTTTTTCTTCGGATCCAATGCACGTCTTGAAGACTGGTGGTCGGGGAGGTGCGTCACAGGCGTTTCAGGGATAGGATGCAGGGCCTTTCTGCGGTTTGCCTTCATAGACCAAGCGAGATGATGTCTGCGACCTGTATGCACCGCTAACCTTACTAAACCCTAAACCCTAAACTCTAAACTTCGCGCGGAGAAAGGGGCCACCGCACTTAAAAAAACACACCAAACCCCTAAACCCTAAACCCTCCAAGCATCGCGCCTGAAAGCACTGCGAAGGCGACGTGAAGACCTACGAGGCCTTTTCTCCCTGACTTGCCATTGGGGCAACGCCTCGGAGTTGGGATCATTAGTATGAGGGCCTGAATAATTACCAATACTATTTTGGAGGTTCCCTTATTAAAACCATAGTCTACCCCAAACCCTTTTCTAATTTTTAAGGCCCCTATATCATTGCCTACAGAGGGTTTGCGGGCCTTGGGTCGTGAATAAATCGTAAGTTGAATCTGCATGCATGTGCCCCTTTATATGCACAGTGCCAGGGTGATTTCCGCTACTACATGGACATGAACCAGGATGTCAGGAAGAAAATTGAATCGCCGCTGGCTGAGTCTTGCGCGCAACGTTTGCTCGCACTGGGCCGCCTCCGTCAGGGTCCGAATACCTTCATACCTTCAGAACTTTACAGTATACAGTCAGGCCACCCAAAAACCGTGTTAAGTTAGTTTACGTCCTGCGCTGCTTTAACCCCAACGTTAATCAACAAACGATGCAACCTGCACGCCAAGTTCAAGACTGTAAAACCGAGACCTTTAGTCCAGGACCGTAAACTAAAGCCGGCAATGCCCAAGCAACAAACCTACGAAAATAAGCCCGGCGCAGGCAGTTCCAACCTCAAGATTTGTCTTGATGCCCCGATTCGAACGGCGATTGCTTTGATATCATTGGAGCAGGTAAAGCCTCCTCAAAGCCAATTGTATTCACATACAGCTTTCTGTGCATGTTCTTATTTACATTTATTTGGCTGATGCCGTGCAGCCGTCAGTGTGAGTTGAGGAGTTCTATTGTTTTACAGGTTTCGAGAGTCTGGAAGCCAGTGTAGGTGGTTTGGGGAGTTTGAGCTTAGGGTGCGATTCTGCGGACTTAGCAAGCCAGGTGGTCATAGAGAGATAGTATACAGTTACAAGTGACAAGTATAGTGACTTTGTCCATATCCCCGTTTGCACGGTCATGTTGATCCTCTAAGTAAGAGCCGTTTAGGGCTCAGTGTCAGGGGAGTTTTATGGTTTCAGTTTAGGGTTGAGCGTTTGGGTTTGGAGTTTGGGGCTTGGGTTAAGGCTTTAGAGGCAACCGCTGCCTGCTCAACTAACGCTTGAGCAGAGACGACGCTAGTGGTTGACAGTACACGCTCCGTTGTTCCACAAGACACATCCCCGGCAAAGAAGCAACACTCTGTGACTTTGGGCGTTCTTTACGCTTCCATATCGGAAGTGATATGCTGCTCCAGGATCTTCGTCACCTTATGCCCAGACCGGAGTCTGGCTGAGCTGCTGCAACATGAAAACCCCATATTCTGAGGCACTACACCGGCATTGACGGACTCATCGAGTCTGTGCCGGGCACCCTGGCGGAGAAGCGGAAGAAGGACTGGCAGTTGAAGCTGACAAGAAGACAGGTTCGTGCACTTCTTGAAGTCGTACCCAGTGGTATTTTAAGTAGCCCAAGCCTCAGAGACTTACCTACGTGCTGCGATCCCGAAGAGCTAAACGAACGAAAGACATGAAGCCGTAGAGTCTCACACCACTTCACTCCCGATGCAAAGTCTTGTTGCACTAATTGTTCAGCCACGACTAGCACAAAGGGCTACTGCTACTGCTCCAGCTTCTGCTTCTGCTGTCAGGGATTCCCCTCCTCGTGACCCACAGCAACAACAGCAACAGCAACAGCAACACCAGCGGCAACAGCAGCAAGAGCAGCAAGAGCAGTACGTGCAACAACATCAACACCAGAAAATACTACTACTACTACTACTAC